CCCGGCCGGGCGGTCCGAATATTTGCTGCCGATTACTACCGAATATCCGGAGCCCGAAAAATGGTATTCGGGACAGCCCTAATGTCTACCCTACTTTTATAATTTTCGGATCATAAATCTATTTATGATCCGAAAATTATAAAAGTAGGGTAGACATGAGCTATTTTCCAAAATCTTGTGGAGAAATTGCATTGTTTTTTTAAAATGCTAACTTACTTCTGGGTTTTAGGGCTCTGTGGCACTCTATACGGACCACACGAGTTAAACACAGTTAACAGCTTTGTTGTTATTGATCATAACAAGCATTTGTTCATTCTCCTCCAATTTGTTTGACATTTTAGAGAGAGCTTACTTAAATGGAAAAAAGGTACAATACATCGGTGGAAAAAGCCTGATAGGCCCCTAGATAATTGAAGCATATTTAGCTTACTCTCTGGTCTTTGTATTTTGTGTCCATTCCCCGCCCTTTGTTACTTCTTGTACTCTTCCTACTTATGTTATGAAGTGCTTCAGTTCACATCTTCCTTATTATCTTAACCCATTTCTTCCACTCACCCTTTTACCCCACTGGACATGTCGACACTGGACGCCACTATTATAAGACACAAGGAGCTGATTAGCGATGAGGGGATAGATGTGTGCTGAAGGCTGAGGGTGAGTCAGAGGCTGTGAACAGAGCCAACAGCGAGAGGTGATAGCTGCGTGTTGGAGGAGATGAGTAATGGTGAACGGAAAACGGGCCAAGAGAAAAGGGCAAAGCCATGATGAGGACAGAAATGTGTACTTTTTAACGTTTAATACATTCAGGGCTTGTAGCCGAGGTTTGTCCTAAAAACCAAAAAGAACAAGACAAACTCAAAATTAAAACTGCTGCTAAGGCACCAGTTAGCAATCTTACGCAGGATTAAAGAGGCCCTATTATGCCTTTTGGGGTTTCTCGTCTCATGTAGTGTGTTCTCTAGGTTTTTGTGCATCCAAAGGTCTCATTCGACAAAATGGAGTTTTTCATTTGGATTCAAGAATATTGCTGAAAACAAGAAGACATGCTTCGTTGGGCATGATCATCTCAACATATTTAGACCACGTTATGGTTTTTGAAGTGTAAATGCAATGCTCAGGAGTAAAAAGCTAATGTTATGCTATAAAGGAACTCATCAAGGAAATGAAAATTATCAAGATATTTCCCAAGTGGAGTTTTTTACAAGAACTCTAAAGTCTGATTAATTTCGACTGGACATCAAATGGACTTCTACCTTATCAGCTCCATTCACCCCTTAAGGGGAACGCACCTTAAGGGGTGGGACAACTCAGAGCGGGCCAGCTAACCAATCAGATCAGACTGGGCTCTGGTTTCAGACAGAGGGTGAAAAAAGGTGCTGCAGCACATAAAACCATGGAGACATGTCACAGTAGAGACACTAAGTCAGAATAAGAACCTGAAGATGAGCAGAATAGGCCCCTTTAAATCGAACGCCCTGGCAAAAATATAGTTTGTGCAGTTTACTCTCGTTTCAACAATCGAACAATACAAAGAACAACCGTGTACCTCCTGTCTTGCCCTCTGGCTCGCCCTTGTAAAAAAAACCTATGAATTTCCCGGTGCCCAATACCACCTCCACCTGTCTCCAATACATATCTTAATCACCCAGGGCCTGAAGCTGCCTTCAACAAAAATATTCCACTTTACCAAAGTAATGACACAAAGTAATGATCTATCTGCTAAAAAAAGCAGCAAGGAAATAAATGTTTTTACTACTTAGTATTATACATCTACGAATAGCTCCAATGGTGCTCTATAATAAGCCAGATGTTTTACTGCAACATATTGAATGTTTTGTTTTTAATTGTCTTTCAACTCTCTAGCAGTTTGTAATTTAATGCACGACAAAAACTGCAACACACAATTAATTTGTGTTGATGATGGAAATACATTATGTGTGTAAATATACTATGTAGATGCATTAAGCCTAAAACATACAGTAACCCTCCAGCCTAAGGAGCAGCAAGTGTGTGTGTGTGTGTGTGTGTGTGTGTGTGTGTGTGTGTGTGTGTGTGTGTGTGTGTGTGTGTGTGTGTGTGTGTGTGTGCGTGCGTGCGTGCGTGCGTGCGTGCGTGCGTGCGCAGTGTCAGAGCCCTGCTGCTCGGCTGCCTGCCCCGCAGCCCAACATCTGCTGAGCGCAGGAAGCATTTGAAGGATAATTAAAAGGACTGGATTCCAACTCATTTCCCGCCTCCCATGGCTAAGCAGCAACATGCTGCTCGACAACAAGAACTGCAATTATTTTGGGAATTAGGAGGAGAACGCAGGAACACAGATATCAAATGTGCACAGCAAGCGGATGTCTTCTCGTTCCAGTCACAACACACGTTTGATGTATTCTGCCCTTTCTCTTGCTGGTGGGTCTGATCAGCCTATAGAGGTCAATGTGAAGGCTGTGTTGTTTTAGATGAGACCTGCTTTCTTGTTTACCTCAATCCAAACATGCGGTTGACTCTGGCTTGATTTGTGAACTCCGGCTAGGTGGTCTTTGAAGCCCAAATAAAGGAAGTAAAAGAGGCCTTCTCTACCCCTCACTAGGCCTTTTCAAGGAGATACTCAATAAAGCTCTTAGTCACTTTAAACGTTTGTTAGCACATGCTTTGAGACAGGCGAGAAGTGAAATATCAAATCACCTGTAATGATCTGAGAGGTGCCATAATGAGTGGGTGTGAGTATGAAGTGCTGGCTCACCCTGAGATGTTAATACAGTCTGGTCCACCTGCAGGCTCAATGCTACGCTTTGTCCTCGGAACAAGAGGAGTTATAAAACTCTGGTTTCACTTTTAAAGAGGGATACATATCACTTCCTGCAGCACTTGAAAGATGAAACCATTTATTGGATGTCGGCCATTTCTTGCAGTCTTTCCTTTATGAACATTCAACATGGTTTGAAGACATTTCTTTGTCTGTATTTCCGTCACTGGAGACTTGTTAACTGTACTTTCCTTAAACGTAGGATCATGCAGCGTTGCTCTAATCCTCAGTCCAGCTCTGTGAGTGAAGTGAAGCCCAGCTACAGCCTCCTTTGTGGGACACCAGTCATGTGAATACGGCCCAGAATGGAGAGCCAGCTGTCCTTTCCCTGCCAAGTCATGTGCAAGTCACAAAGCAGCAGCGCCACTTGAAAGAGAAAGCAATAATCAATTTTGCAGAGTTATCCTCTGAAAGGCTTGTTTTGTTCCCGGGGCCCGACGATTTAGGAGCGAGAGGCCAGCAGTGGCGTTTGTCGTTTTAATGGAATACACTGCGCTCCATTGTCCACAACCCCACGCTGCCCGGCATAAAAAGTCCATTTTCGTATTTCTGTATAATCAGCAGAACATT